TATAATACCATGTTCTTCTTCAACTCGCGCATTATATCCAGTTCCGGAGGCAGCTATGGTGACAATAGCGACCTCAACGTCGTTGAGTTGAAAGCTATCATGAAGAACATCATCATTCATGATCGTCCCCAGAAGACCCAAGCCGCTGTGTGGGCTACTGACCTCGACAAGTCGACCAAGAAGGTGGAGGCATCTACCCAAACGGAAGGCGGCCGAGTCTGGGCTTACCAGCCAAAACAAAGTCAAAGTCTGTGAAGACATTTGCTCTATAGAGCAGAGCGGATATACTTAGATGTCTACGTCTGTTCTCTTCTCGCGATAGAGTCTGACTTTTTTAATCTCCGATATCCATAGCCATGACAGCATTCTTGCCACTATGTACGTTGTACATTGGGATATAAGCATTATTCCCTATCGAAACCACTCCAGCGTGCATCGTTATTGAACCGATGACTTGGCCAGTTTCAGGGTTAGTCAGGTTCTTTTTGATCGTTTTACTTGGTCCGCAGCCCATGATACTCTATTACAACGAAGTACTCAAGATCTGCTCTATATTTATCGGTGCGAAATTATCCCTGAGCCAATACAATATATAACCCTCTCGTGGAATTCGACAATTCGATCACATTGTAGTTGATCAGTATCAACGACATTAGCGTTAGTAGTCTGAGGGCAAGCGGTCTTCGCCACGAACTGGGTTTGACAGATACCATTCTATATTTACTCAGACATAATCGCTCTCAACTCATTGAGTTCAGCTTTGAGATTATTGATTTGGCCTTGCTGTTCTTGGATAGATTTACACAGTACCGAGGTTAAACTGGCGAGATCGATTCCCCATGGATTCACTGGAAACCCATCCGGATTAAGCTCATCGTTTGCTCCGATATCTACTGCTTCTGGCATGACCTTATACAGCTCCTGAGCGATATAGCCAACATGGACAGTCTGCTCTTGAACCATCCTGAATTTTCTAGGTCTCATTCTCATAAGGCTTGCCAAACCATAGGGACAGTCTACAATGTCCGCCTTCAACCTCTCATCGCTTGCATTGGTATAGCTTCCTCCACGCACCGGGACATAGGCTGTCCACGAGTAATTAGCATCGCATTTTCCCAACCTGATAGCTCCTACGGTTGAATCAGTACCAATCGCTGGATAGTCAGTCTGAGACCAATTGAATCGATACCTAGCAAATCCATCGCCGCCTCCCTTTACGTGCATGAAATTATTCGCCCATACCTCTCCGCCTGAGTGAATGGTTGCTTCTGGCGACCACGTACTCATACCAACTCCCAGTCTTCCTGAGCTGTTGAGATAAGCTTGAGTTGTGTTTCCAACCATGAACCTTAGCGGGTCGCTCGTAGTGGTGCCTAGAGCTACACCACTACTTCCTCCCGCGACATCGTTGTATACCTGAATTTCAAATTCGATTGGAGTAGTAGCATCGTTGGCTATACGCATTGCGCGTTGCCAAGACTCGCTTAGTAAATTCGCGCTCGAAACTATATCAATTTTTGCAGTACTGGTAGCTGATCCAAAGCGAATGTATCCTGCTTGAGTGATTCTCATACGTTCAGTCATTGGTGATAATGCATTAGCTCCTGACCGTGTACTGATTGCAAAATCAGCAATTGAATATTGAAGACTCGTAGCGGTTCTAGTACAATATAGATTAACGCTAGGGGTGTACGTTGTCATATCACTAGTACCTTCAATCGTGAACGATAATCCGGCCTGAGCGCCAACCGTATTGCTTTGATTACGAATTATGAGATTAAAACCAGAGGCACGCGTTGTTGGTGTAAATGATGTCCCGGCCGCAATCTGACATTGGGTAGAAGTAGTGGATATCAGATTGGTTGACGTTAGAGATGAGATACCTGATGAGATGCTACTATTAGAGTCTAGTACAAGAGCCTTTGATGCTTCTGCAGTTCCTGCTCCGGTGATAAGATCTAGACAGTTCAGCTCAACGGTAGATGCTGTGCATCCAGCAAGCTTGTTCAGCTCCGCACCTGTAGCATTGAGAGTATCTCCCCTGAGTTGAAGCGTAGTAGGATTGATATTCAAGGTCGCTGCATTCATAGTTTGAGTACCTGACTTACTAATCGTATCACATGTGATCGTAGGCGATGATACTGAAGTCGAAGCTATAAAGTTTCGTGATATGGTTAGATCGCGAATGCCTGGGTAATCTTTCGTACTATTGAGAACCACAACGCTACTGGCTGAAGCGCCCCCTTCGATAACATTGAGAAAGTAAGCATGATTGAAATTTATCCAAGAACTGACTCCATCCCAAAATTTCAGATTCGGAATGAATAAACCGGTTCCACCAGCGCTAAGGGTTAGATTGCTAAGCGTACCTAGACTAGTAATATTAGGCTGAGCAGCGGTTTGTAGCGTACCCGATACATTGCCCGAGAAATTTACAGCGGTTAGAGTACCTAACGATGTTATATTAGGCTGAGCAGCAGTCTGTAGCGTACCAGTAATGTTAGTTGCAGTTAGCGAGCTAAGACCTGTAATGGATCGACTTGCACCAGTAAAGGTTAAACTGCCTCCGATAGTCAATCCAGTAAGCGTACCTAAGCTGGTGATATTTGGTTGAGCAGCCGTCGCTAGCGTTCCATTGATGTTTCCACTCACGGTGAGCGACGAGAGTGTCCCTACACTTGTTACGTTGGTCTGAGCAGCAGTTGCCAATGTACCAGATATGTTTCCACTCACGGTGAGGGACGATAGCGTGCCTAAGCTAGTAATATTAGGCTGAGTCGCTGTCTGCAGCGTGCCAGTAATCGACGTTGCCGTCAAACTACTAATAGTAGCAATTTCACCTGATGCATCAAGCACCAGAGCTTTGTTGATAGCGGCAGTACCTGGAGTAATATCAGCTACATACGTTGGTACGCCTGAAACGGAAGCACCATTAACAGTTAGTCTACTACAGCTTAGTGCTCCAAGACCGCTGATGTTCCCACCACTTCCAGGGACAAGCGCTACACCAGGTGATGCTACGCCTTGAGAGCCACCGGTAATGTACGTCAAGCGATAGTCATACTTGTTCAGATAAAGAGTCTGAGCATAGTCATACGTTAGAAACCCGCTGGCATCCAATTGGAGAAAGAATGCCGGATTATAAATCGGCGATGTGAATATCGGGCTAGGATAAGAAAAACCTGAACTCATCTTTGTTTGATCCTATATAGTTTAGACGATAATCATGAGCGGTATTCCAGATTTCGGAGCTTCAATCCCTAAAAAATTCAAAAGCGCCTCTATGGGTGATATTCCAGCACTTGACATCAAAGCGCTGCTTAGAATGGTGGTTCTGGGGCCATCGTTCTCAGGGAAGAACAACTTATGTATGTTCATCCTCAAGCATTCTCCTCACGTATTTGCTCATCTAACGATCATTGCTCGTAATCCTCACCAGGAGTTATATGAGTATCTTCGTGATAAGCTTGTTGGCTTTATTACATTCGCCGACCCTGACTCGCCTCCGAGTGTTGAACGGGTACGTCATACACCAATTAATTCCAATAAGCCTGAGCTCGTCATCATCGATGACTACAGCAACGGTAAGCTTCTTCAGAAGAATTTGTTCTCACATTACTTCACTAGAGGGCGCCACTTCAAGCTATCAACCATCTTCTTGAGCCACAGCTACTTCGCAACGGACAAGATGATCAGATTGAACTTAGAGTACGTAGCGATCCTGAAAGCTAATTCTAAGCGAGACCTCCATATGGTTGTGAAAGATTTTAATATCAAGGGAGTAGATGAGCGTTCAATCGTCTATTATTACAACAAAGCCGCGGAGCGAAAGGGCCAAATGCTCTTCATTGATTCGGTCAAGGGTCAGATCAGGTATAACTTCGATAGACCGATTCGTATCGAGGACTAATTCCAATTTATCAAACAAAAATATGCCTACAAACATATAATCAATATGTCCAGCTTTATCAAACTCGACAGCACCAATCTGGTACAAGATGGAACCAATTCAACCTGGAAATACTCCTTTCCCGGATCGGCGGCTGACTTCCGCGATGTAGTATGTGCCATTCAATCGATTTCGATGTATAACAGCGAGTATAACATTGATTCAATGCAATTTCAGAACACAACGTTCAAAATCGAAGTACCTACCGCTGCAACTACATCCACAATCAGTGTATCCCTCCCTGATGGTATTTATTCTTATGACGATATCAACCGAAGCATTCAGACTGCTCTTGTCAATGCTGGGGCGTATCTAATCGATCCGTCGGGGAATAACGTATTCTATATCAAAATGAGTGCTAACAGTGTCTATTACGCTTGTCAGCTTGATTTCGCTCCTACGCCTACAACTCTACCAACTACCGGTGGAACATGGACCAGACCTACCTCTGGTTTATACTCCTCTGGTGGTACTGGATTGCCGACTACTACTTGCGTTCCTCGACTGATCATCGATAATGCTGAATTCGGTAAAGTAGTTGGTCTCACAGCGGGTACATACCCCTCCACATCAGCTACTGTTGGAAGTGCTCAGCTATCAAACATCATTCCTCAGATTCACCCGACCAGTTCTTACATCGTTCGTTGCGATCTGATGAAAAACGAATACGTGTCTTCTGGTGATATTGTCAGCGCTTTTGATAGAGGTGACGCCGCTATTGGAAAGGTCATTTCATACAAACCGAGTCAGTATGCGTGGATGAACTGTCACAATGGCGCTCGAGCTAGTATTACACTCAGTATCTGTAACCAAAATGATAAAAAAGTGATTTTCAGAGGTACGTCGGCATCCATCCTGCTTCTGATTCGTCCAAAAAAATAAGCCATTCAAGCTATTTTTTGTGACGTCTACAACGTAAATGAACCGCCAGACTTACGGCGTGCCCTGAGCGCAGCCATCTTAGCCTTCATCTCTGGCGAACCCTTCGCTGGACGTTTCTTTGCTACGCCTACACCATAACGGCGACGAACCTCCTTTCGCACAGATCTGATTAGATCCTCATGTTCCGGCTTGGTAGCTTTGATAGTAGGAACACCTTTCCAGCATCGGCCGCATCGGTGATGACCCCCTTGCGCTTCGTGTATGCAAGAGCATTCTTTGCAGCCTTCTTTACGTCAGCCATTGATACGCGACCTCCTTCCTTGTCGCTATCGGAATCATAAATATTAATGCCGGTTAGGGACTTGATTGCAGCTCTGGCTGGAACAGCAGCCGTTGGCTGACCAGCATAAGTAGCTGAAGTAGGAACCGCCGCACCAACGGCTCTGGATAGTAGTCCCGAATCGTTAGCGAATTTGTATCATTTTTTTATTGTATCCCAAACTTTACTGAATATACTTCCACCTTGAGCCTTCTTGTACCCTTTTTGATCTCATGCTTCGTAATGTCAAGTCTGACACCACGTCCAGCGTTACGAGCCTTGAGCGCCTTTTCAAACGAAGCAGGGTGGAGATGGATGACTGAACCACTACCCTTTAATTCGCTTGAGGTGAGGCTGAGCTTACCAGTCTTGAAAGCTTTGGTAAGCTTCCGCGCAGGAATATCACTGGAGATTGTTAATTCACAATACATGATTGCTACATACGTTGAATTAAATAACGCATACTATTCTGATAAATATTATAGTAGATATATAATAATAGTACATTTGTATCATGATCGACCATATCTATCGTATTATCTATTTGGAAAGCGACGTTCAATACGTCGGCTCGACGTTTAATGAGCCGCGTAAGAGATGGCAAAAACATAAGCAGCACTATCATGAATGGGTCAGCGATAAGCGTGGTAAATGTGAGATCTACCCTTACTTTCAAGAGCATGGAATCAATAAGTTCAAACTCATTCCTATAAAAACTTATGATGTTGTTGATCGTAAGCACCTAGAAGCATACGAATCACTGTGGATTTCAAAACTGGCTTGCGTAAATAAAGTGAACCCATTTCAAACAAAAAAACTATACAAAAAGCAGCACTATGAAGCGAACAAAGCATCTATCACCGCAAGATTAAATACCAAACATCAATGTGAACGTGGGGGTAGATATACCCATGTGAATAGGCTTAAGCACTGTCGAACCACTAAACATCAGGCTTGGCTAGAGAACAACAATATTTAAGTCTTTAAATCGATCTAGCAGATCAATTCTTTTTTTTTGCTTGCAATATAGCCAAAGTAAGCTCCATATTCCACAGTAATCATCGTACGTCCCCTGGTATTGCTTGGAATTGTATCGTTGGATCCCATACCGCGTCGGAGCCCCCTCTGCCACACTATCCAAGTATTCACCATTATGAACCGCCGTCCAGTGTCCTACCTCAAGATTAGGAGGGCGAAGTAGAATCAGAAATGACCCTTTCTTGGGGAGAGGGGACTTTATCTCATTTGATTCGAATATATTATCGAGTTGAACGTTCATTTTCTCAGCGAGTTCGATGCGATCATGATCTGAGGTGATTGGCTTGATGAGGTGCGACATAATATTTAATTTTATCAAACTATATTAGGATCCATATAGATTCAACGATGAGCGAAACTCAACTATCCGATCAGTACTTGTACCAGAGCTTGCTTAAGAGCGACCCGGAGATCAAGGTATCTTCGAGCAAGCGTGTACTACACGTTATTGATCTAAATCAGGGTTCGTACCAGAATGGTGTTATCACTATCGATGCTACGGCTCAGCTTAACGGTTCCGAGGGCTTCGCAAGCCTCCGTGATGCCTACATTATGCTTCCCTACAAGGTCTCAATGAAGAATGGTGGCACTGCTCAAACTGCCGCTGCCAATCGTCTATGTGCTACTCTAAAATGCGGAAATTGGAACGTTATTGATAGTCTGAGTCTGGAACTAAACGGAAAGACTATCGTCTCTATGGCTGACTACAAGCTCTTTTGGAACAACGTTCGTGCTCAGACTGGCTACAGCCCTCAGTACGTTGAAAAGCACGGAGCTGAATCGTTCTTGTACCCTGACGCTGCTCAGTCGGTATCATACAGTTCTGGATCCGCATCTACCAGTGGTGATGGATATTCAAACACCATGGCATTCTCGTCTTCCTTTGCTGTCTCGGCTCCTCCTGGTGGTGCAACTATTCCTAATGATTGTTTCATTAAGCGCCTTCTATCGAATCCTCCTACGGCTGGCGCTGACTTCTCCAGCTCGTGGCCGTCGGTAGGTGGTGCTGCGGCATCGACTACCATTTCTAACCAGACCTCGCGTGGAGCTTTCGTAGCTGGTGGTACTGCTGCTAACGCAATCATGGGAACGTGGAACTACATGCTTATGATTAAGCTCACCGATCTGCATCCTATCTTCCGTGAGCTTGACTTGATGGCTAACCCTCAAATTTGCCTGCGTTTCCGTGTGAATCAGGGAACATCTGTAGTCGCGGTAGATGCTTCAAAGGGCATGTCGCTAACCTCTACTACTCTATCGTTTGGTAATAGTTGTCCGGTCACGATTGCCGCTTCTGCTACCGGTAATTCGATGAATGGTGTGCTTGCCGCATCTGCTGGCTTTAGTGTTGCTTGGGGAGCGGTTGTAAATGCTCTTGAACCTACATACATGCTTTTACTACTGCTCGTTTGTATGTCCCTTTCGTTCATCTTGAGAACCCTCAAGCTATTATCTCTAAGCCGGTTAAGAAGGTTCGCTACAATGATTGCTACGCACAGTGGTTTTACCAGCGTGCTGGTATTGGTAAGTCCTCGACTCAACTAAAATGCTTCTTTCGATCTACAGCTATCGGCAAGTGTTAAAAACGCGAAATATGTTGTGCTTTTTCCATTCGCGGAACAGACAAACAACTTTGCTTCTGCTACTGTTCAGCAGTTCCAGAGCCCCTTCGATAGCTCTCCATACACGCTTCAGCCCGGGTCGTCGATTCGCAACTTTAACGTTCGTATTGGCTCGACTCAGGTGTTCGATATCAGTCATGACTATGATTTCCACCACTTTACCAACGAAATTGCTAAGATTTCAGCGATTAACGGAGATCTAACCCCTGAGCTCGAAAATGGTCTACTTGACTATCAGACGTGGTCGGTCACAAACCGCATGCTTATTGCCGATGTCAGTCGCCTGACTGAGCGCGATGTACCTCAGGCTATTCAGATCCAAGGTACGAACGCCGGATACCAAGGTGTGAATATGCTGATCCTCGTAATTAGCAAACAGGAACTAACGTTCGATAGACTAACCGGAGAGGTTCTGGACTTCACTACAGCGTAAGTAAAAAAAAGAAAGATATTTTATAGTTCAATTCCTTGAGTAGCTTTGGACACTTGTCAATCACGAATTGACTTTTTCTTAGCCAATCGAGATAGCCTGGATCCAATTTACTGATCTGCTGTAAAGATTCGCCTCGATACTTACCCCACGTCATCATATAGGAGTTATCGTTATTTAGGAATCTTGAGTGAAGAAAGATTTTCATTTCCTCGCTAATGTTGAGACTGGGTTGGTTGTGAATCCAACGACAGTATCCAGGATCATTCTTGAATACATCCTCAATGGATTGACCTTTGTATTTTCCGAAAGATAGTTCGATCGTCATGCTCTATGTGTGGGTATCTATATACATAGCCACTTAATTTTGTTGAGAAAAATATTAATTCTGAAAATGACGTCGTAATGTGCCAGTAATTATTGGGAGTTTCATCTTACCCTCGCATGTGCGATCCTGCACGACTACAGGGTCGCGCGTCTGGTCGCTGGCTAACGGACGCCTCCTGGAGCTCTGAGGTCGTGTAGGTAAAACGGACGACTATCCACAAAGATCGTTCTAGCACCGTTCTCGGAGGTAAATTACGATAAGAAATTATGAAAATAAAAAACTGCCGGCGTAATGTACTACTTGGTCACCGTCGCCGCAGCGCACGATCTTTTCTTCCCATCCCTCCACGATGTACTTGAAGTCAGTCTCACTCGTCTCCGCAACGAACTCCTCCTTGTGTGCCAGCGTGCGAGCCAGCTCCTCCTTCAACACCTCCACGAAGTGGTTGGTGCGGTCCTCCGCTACAACAAACGTAAAACCCACGGACTCCAGCACCTTGCCGTACTGCGACGGCGAAAGCAAGTGGTAGCCGCGACCGGCCACGTATGCCTTGAACCTGTCCGACGGCTCCTGTTCACCTTGGCAGTAGTCCGAGATGAGCACGCGGCCTCCAGGCTTCAACCATCGGAAGAACTTGGCGAACAGCGCCTGCTTGTCCTCAATGTGCAGGATCGTGTCGCGACATCGAAGGACGCGTCCGGGAACTCCTTCTGCGTGGCGTCGCAGATCTCGAATTCGACGTCGGCGTTCGGGTCTTGCATCGACGTCTCGAGCGCTCGGTGCACCATGTTGGTGGAGAGGTCGATGCCGACGACCGAGACGCCGTACTGGCGAGCCATGTAGAAGTCTCCTCCCCCGATGCCGCATCCGACGTCCAGCACACGCTCGCCAGGCTTGAGGTTGAGCTTCTCGACAAACTCAGTCGTGGTGCCCTCCCTGACCGAGCCCTGTCCGAAGATCTTCTCGTAGCGCGTGATGCTCTGGTTGGAGTACTGCTGCTGGTCCAGGAACTTTTGGAAGGTGGCGACGGCCTCATCATCACTGTTGTTGTCGGAAGCTCTTTGCTTCATGACTTTGGTGTAGCTGAAGAAGAGTTGTCCGTTGTTCTTCTTGATCTTGCGGTAGACGGCGACACTGCCTGAGGACTCGAGATTGAAGTATCCAAGGTCTCCGTTCTCCTCCTTGGTCACCACCGAGCCAAAGGCCCCCACGTAGAAAGCAGGATGGCGGTAGTGCGTCGGGTTCGAGTTGCGTTTGACGTCTCCCGACTGTCTGAAGCAGGACTCGCGGAAGAAGAGCTTTCCTCCAGGTCGCAGCCACTTGATGGCCTTCTGGGCGAACTGCTTCACCTCTTCATCCCCCAAGTACATGAAGATCCAGTTGGAGAAGATCACGTCAAACGAGTTGGGCTCGGCCTCGAGGGTCACGACGTCCTGGCAGAGAAAGTTGATGTTCTGCATGTGGCCGTTGGTGGCGACGTTGGCCTTGTGGAAGTCGTCGATGAACTCCACGGCAGTGACGCTCTTGGCCGTCTTGCCGATGATCGACGTGAAGCGGCCGATGCCCGCAGCCAGCTCCAGCACGTCCTTGTTCTCCATGCAGGGGGCCTTGCCAAGGATTTCAGGGAGCTCCAGCTTGGTCAGCGCCTTGGCGTGCGAGTCGAGCATCATGGTCTCTACGGTGGCGGCCGAGCGGTGGCCCTCCCAGTACGACTTCATCTGCTGGCGTGCGACGTCCACGGTCATTGTCGGTTGGCGCTTGTTCAGGTGATGGAGGCTGCTTGAACTCTCGGGGTGAGAATTGGGAATGAGCTTCAGCTGTGCTGCCGTTGCAAGTGCGAACCTCAAGTAGCAGCAGCTAGATGCGACAGTGGATACCGTTAGAGCGGGGCATGTTCAACACGTCTGGAGACGTCGCTAGAGGATTGGGTGTATACGTGCAAGTATACGCCAATCACAGCGGCGAGCACCGCCACAGCAGCGTATACAGAGCTTGCATGCATGGCTGCGTGTTGACGCAGAGGCACGCGGCGGCTCCGCTTCCTTTCGTCTACAGCAACAATACGACCAACACTCCGATACCCATGGTGAGACCGAGTAGTTTTGCCCATCACCCCGATGCTACGTCAGCTTTTCCCGAGCATACAGTCTTGGAAAAAGAGAAATATCATAAACACCATATATTCTCTGACAAACACAACAAAAGCCTGAATCCCACAAATGTGACGAAAAAAGGGGATTGGAGGGCTCAGATACGCTGAGATTAAACTTCGCAGCAACAACGAGGTTTGGCGATTGTTGATGTAAAACAAAATGTTCTGCAAGAAGCAAAAGCCATGCAGCACCCTTAGCAGCATGGATACAGCCAAGTGCTTGAGTTAAAAGCGTAAAGATTCATTGTTCTAGTTAAGGTTACCAGCCGCGCTCCGCTTGGCTGGGCGCCCTCCCGCGCCCTCCCGCGCCCCCGCGCCTCGCTTCGCTCGGGATAAAAAGATAGTATGTACTGGCGAGCGTGGTGCTCGGCTCGCTGGAATGCTCGGCGCTGGACCCGCCTCCGCAAATACCGCGCGGCCCTGCTTCGCGGGCGCCCCGCGCGGGTTTGCTGCGGCTACGCACCTCGCAACCGCTCGCCTTAGTCGTGACTTGTATACGTATTAGCTCAATTATATAAATTGTGGTCCACATAAACTACAACAACCTCCTGTTTCTGGGACGTGTCCCCTCATTCTCCAACCATGGAGGCTCCCCAGTCGCAGTCGCGCTCGCACGTGGCGCTGCTCGCGCTGCTGGTGCTCAGCGCCGTCGCGGGCGTCTACCTCTTCTTCCAGTCCGCCCCCGAGGCCGAGTTGTACGTCTCTCTCAGCCGCGCGTTCTACCCATTTCCTGCGCTAACCGTGTCTACTGTTGCACATTTGGTCGCAGCCCCGAGTGCGAACCCATATCCGTGTCCTACGTGATCCGCGGCGTGTTGCCCACTTGGCTCAATGGACGCAACGACAAGATGGGCACCGTCCAGGGCCTCTGGCAGTGCGCCAGCCAGTACCGCGAGCACCACGCCGCCTTCGTGCTCAGCAGCTTCTGCATCGTGTACATCGCGCTGCAGACCTTCGCCATCCCGGGGCCCATCGTGCTGAGCATCCTGTCCGGAGCCATGTACCCATTTCTGCAGGCCCAAATTCTCGTCGCTTTTTGCGCCACGACGGGCGCCTCGCTGTGCTTCATGCTGTCCTACTTCCTGGGCCGTGGAGTGTTTAGTCGAGTGCTGTCGGGCATGATCGGCCGCTTCAAGGAGAAGGTGGGTACTTTTTATAGTGGCGATGGAGTTTTATCATTTACACATTTTTTGGACGTTTTTGTTGCGCAGATTGCCCAGAACCAGGGAAACATGTTCTACTACTTGCTGTTCCTGCGCATCACGCCGCTGCTGCCCAACTGGTTCGTCAACATCGCGTGCCCGCTCGTCGGAGTCCCATTCAAGTACTTTTTCCTGGCGACGCTCATCGGACTGGTCCCTGCCAACTTCCTGCACATTTCCACCGGCGCGACGCTCAACAGCGCCGCAGGTGCGACGGGCGGCAGCAACGCCGTCAACTTTGCCGTGCTCTTCCTGCTGCAGTTTGTGGCTCTGCTGCCGACGCTCTTTAAGGGCAAGATCGAGAAGTACGAGAAGGAGGCCTTCGAAAAGGCCAAGAAGAACAAGTAACAACTGTCGCTGGAGTGCCTTAAAGTCTAATGAGCGCTGGCGAGATCTTGAGACTGTAGACGCAGCTTGCAGGCTTTGTTCATAGAAGCTGGAATTGAAACATCTGTAATGGTTTCGTGGTGTATGTTTATGTCTACACTTTACTGATCACCTTGTTTCGAGGGCGACGTTGCTGTTGCTGTGGTAGAGCTTGTTGGAATTATTCCTTCTGAAAACACGGACTGTTGTTAAGGGTGTATTCGTAGGATAGGGCACAGTTAGCTGTCCGAACAAAAAACCAAGAGCTAACAACTTGCACAGTGGCGCACCCCAGCAATAAAGGACGATGTTACAGTGGTGTTGCTTGTGAGATGGGCTACAATAGGCTACCCGGAGCACTGCGCCGGGAGTGTACACAGGTGGTAGGGCAACAGCAACAACAGTGACTTTTCCAAAATTAATGAAAGGAGAGGGGAAAAAGGTGGGGGAGATGCAGGAATCAAGTGCTACGGTATGGAGGGAGCATACGGGAGTGGTTGGATTAAACAGCAATTTCCTTTCGTGTGCACGCGGTGGGATATAAAGTACAACGGGAGACTCTGGATTCACTGGTCGCCGTTTCCTGGTAGGACTGGTACGACGGGCTTAAGTATTAGTCTTACTTTAACTTTTATAGTAAAACCTGCCTACCTCCGAAAAGCATCGATAGGGTTTACTGGGAAGTTGTTGAAGTTTAGGTCCAACGTCCGCTATGTCGACGAAGAACAACATTACTTGTCAAGTTTTCCCACACCCAGAACAAACCAAACCAAACCAAACCAAACCAAACCAAACCAAACCAAACCAAACCAAACCAAACCAAACCAAACCAAACCAAACCAAACCAAACCAAACCAAACCAAACCAAACCAAACCAAACCAAACCAAACCAAACCTCAAACCAAACCAAAATTACCAGCAAACCAGGTTTGGTTCGGTTTCATGGTTTGAACGCGTTTCATTTTGAACTCCAAACCAAGCTTGCGGTTTTTGCGAACCAGCCCGCTGGTTTGAACCGTGGCTGCACATTCGCAGGCAGTGCGGCTTGTACAGAATGGATCGCGGTTAGAATCACTTCACCGTTATCGTTCTCTTTGACAAACTTTGCGTGTACAGTCGTGCACCTCTAGTTCGTCAGGGCGGACCATATGTAAAACCAGAAGTGATGAGGTTCTTGGAAGGTTCCATGACTTAGAAATCGTTCAAACCTGAATAGGTTATCCTAAATTATAAGGTTATACCGGTGCCGAATTAGAGGTGCACGACTGTAGATCCCCTTGATTTATCGAGTAAACTTGTCAAATATATGGATTTATAAACTCTCTGACGTCGTGTCTGCCTGTGTATTCTTTTACCGCAAAAGAAAGTTTGAGGGCAAATGCTCATATTATCATGAGCCGGAGACTGGCTCAAGCTAACAGTAAGCTTGCTTGCTACTAGTTTATCTATGGGCGCTCCCGGACTGACCGAAGCGGTTTCTCAATCGCGATAATTGTTATTGTGACCTTGCCCGTTTATTACGATGCCACGGGCTCAAACCTTCGATCGGTCCCCTTATTCCAGCTTGGAGCTCCGGATTTCAGGACAAACGAGCGAATGGAGGATTCAGTTCGGACGTTCGAGCGCTGGGCGGTAATATGAGTTTACAGGTAGGCTAGATCGTATCACAGCTCTAGCCGTGGCCAGTGGAAATGGCGATTTTGATGCGATGTCTCTCAAGAAAGATCAAAAGAGGCTGATGTTCGTCTGCGTGAGCAACGATGAAGTTTGTGCGCACACCGATGGCCTGCTTCTGTTTGCACTTTCAAGACGAAGTGGTTCCGTCTCTAAAGCTCCCTTAAGTTCCGCCGATACGATAGGTCGCGTTCACAAACTGGCTACAGCAAGGTCGGGATAAATAGGCTATCTGCATAAGTTTCCTTCACATACAGTGCATTAACCTATTGAACAGTAAAAAATATCCTTGTTACAGGTTAGTGACTTCTCGATAAGAAAAACGTTCTGACTACGGAGCTACGAGAGACGTAATGTATGGTTGACGTCTAAGATTGAGATGTCCGAAGCGCTGGATGGTCCTCGGCGTTTGTTAAGAGAGCGCGCCTGCGTATAGCAAACAACCGAGGGTGGGCCGCGACAAAACGGTGCAGGCGTGATGAAGCTGGGAATTCGTGCAGACACTCTTGAAGACGCTGGCAGGTAGCATAACTTATTGATGTTCAGAGCTACGTTGAACTCGATTGTCCATATTGCTCTTGCACTCATCTTCCAGAAGCGCCATCATAGTTTCTAATTGTCTGCGGCATTTTAGTTTAATTGGTACCCGTGAATCAAAAACCTTAGGATACGATTACATGTAATACTGCTTTGTGGTGGCTCGAGTAGCATTAAGGAAGGAGGAAGTAATGAATTGGTAGGAGGACGTTATGAGTTCTCATTTGTTGGTAAGAAATTTGTTCGTAAATATTTTTTCATTGTAAGTTCTGCTGTGTACAGTAGGGCTATGGAATTCAAAGCCGAGTCACAAGATCTCGCATAATACTCATTTAAGGCTTGTGCCAGTAGATATTTTGTCAGTGACGGCGAAATGAACTGGCTAATTTTCTGTTGTTGGATGGTCCGCGTTGGTTTCATGAAAGCGGCGTGGGGGCAACTGTCGCCCTCTTTTGCGCGGGCTAAGGATCAAAACTAGCAATAGCTGTTTACGATGCTGCCTCCCCTGGCGCTTGACACGTGCAACAAGAATTTCCAGCTTCAATTTACACGAAAACTATAATTCACGTCAAAAGTCATGTTCAATGCTAAAACAATAATCGTTTAGGCACAAGATAAGGATCCACTGCTTACAAACTACACCTTTGCCCGGCCATAGTTGGCCTAATTTGCAAGCGAAGTTGTCATGAATATTGGAGGTACCAGAGAGTAACATTACATTCCCTAAAGTATGACTTTCGTTTCATTCAAAGTTGTCTAATTCCCATCGAGAGGTACATGCACCACATGTAGCCGCAAAGCTCGTCTCACCCCCTGCTCAGTGAGGGGCGGTCTCAACGCGCCCCCATGTTCCCCTCCTTGAGAGATCGCGCGCGTACAGCTGCCGCTTGATGAAGGGCATGCAGACGCGGATCGGACACTCAAGAAGCTGCACGCACGCACACACGCCTTCGCCTTCGCCATCTTGCCTCTGTGCTGGCGTCACTTCGCAGTGCGAAGTTCGTACTCTATCAGAGTACGCCAAAGTTCTTGAGTTTGCGAGGGAAAATGTGTATTACGTCAACAGTCGTTGGTGGGAATTAGACAACTTTGAATGAAACGAAAGTCATACTTTAGGGAATGTAATGTTACTCTCTGGTACCTCCAATATTCATGACAACTTTGCTTGCAAATTAGGCCAACTATGACCGGGCACAGGTGTAGTGATAAAAAGCTTCTTTTATATTTCAGAGAATATTACCAACACACTCTACTTCTGATTATAAACGCTAAAACTAGTTTCAGCATTGGTGTTTTGCGCTATACTACAAGTAAATTACCTTAAACGCGTTGAATTACGTATAAGCATGCCATAAAACTGCATTAGACATTCATACATGAATATGTAGACTGATAACAATAGTGTACAATAATATTTTTTTAATGAAGAAACCATTATAGTAGTAGTCCTACGCTTTGACGTATTCCTTTTCCTAAACGGCTGTTTTTAGTGCTTATTTTATATAATATCAGCATTTTCTACAGTGGAAATATACTTATTATTTCATATCTCGTGGTACAACTTTGGAACAGGGAAGAGTTTGATAACAGGAAACATTTTTGGAACAGGGTACACTTTGGGTACGTTTTTTCCCCAAAATTCTACATTATTTCTTAAAAACGGTCGGTTCGAAAATTACGGACCCGATTCGGAATTATTTTAAAATAACGGACCCGAAACACAATTTCCCTAATTAGATTTGGCCCACCGCGTAGCAGCGATAGCTGGGCCTGCACTTCTACTTAGAATAATAGCCCTGCAACGAGGTTTGCTGTAAAAGTAACTTATGAGCGTAGTAAGCGATAACAGTACATAGTATGCGATAGCAACGCGTAGTAAGCGATAGTATGGTGTAGTATGCGATAGCAGTGTGCAGTAAGCGATAACAGCGGGAAGTAAGCGATACCAGTGCGAGTACACGTAGTGGAAGGAGTGCACAGATTATTACTAACGCGTGCAGAACACTTTTACTGTAATACTTTAGGGATGGACATATTATAGCTGCAGCGGTGCTTAGTGTTCATGTTACGAGGGCATATAGCTACATTGGCTGAAGCCCGTTTATATATTGCAGGTACAGTGTGTAGCGGTAGGATAATGCGTTAATGGGGTCGTAGATACATGTATTCTGACATTCACTGAGCGGGAGATTTTTATCATAGTTTACGCTGAGATTCCTTCAATAACCGTGTTATTGGACGGATATACATTCAGGAAACGGGATCAGCATAACGGAAACGTGCATAGTTTCGGGGTGCGAACTTCTTACTTTTAAAATCGGGTGCGGTTTTTCAACTAGCCAATTTTCGACTAGCCACTTTTGTGACTACGGTTCCGACTAGCCACTCGTTGCATGAAAACTAGCTACTAGTTGCTAGTCGAGACGCAACAAGTAGCTAGCCAAAAAAATCAAACGCCAGCCCAGGACGAATTATCGACTAGCCACTTCATAGTGGCTAGTTGACACGCTAAAAGTGAATACTCGAGTCGCTAAATCTGCATAGTGGCAAATACAAATGTGGTATCATAATTAATTTTCGAGTGACCACTTGTTCATTGGTAAACTATGCACTTTTGATGTTGAAGTTGGGTGCTTGATGTTGAAGTGGGTAGGACACTCGCGCGTTGGCACTCGCCTGCGGACTTAGCGACGGCACTTCGGGGGGACCGCCCCTCTCTCGCCTCGCTAGGGGGGCTCCGCTCCGCGGCCTGCCCCACCCCTCGTGCCTTACGCTAAGTCCTCGGCTTCGGCCAGGCGCGGTGTCTGGAAAAAAATATCGGGTTGCAGCGTTCGCATTCGCTCGCTCGCGCAGACACGCCCCCGCCTAATCGGCGGGTGTTGGCAATCGGTGAATGCACTGAGTGAGTCTGGCGCTCGCCCTCGCCCGTTTGGCCACTCATGGTGTTGAAATAGTTGGACCAAATATATTATTTTTGATTAATTGGTCCGACCAAAACTAGGTGCGGTGGCCAAGTAGCTAGTCGGTACCCAAAAAGTGGCTATTTGGAACAGTATTCTCAAAAGTAGCTAGTCAAAATTATACTGGGATAGGAAGCGACGAAGTGCTGATAGACCAGCCCAAACAGGATTAATTCGGGCGATGTTCCCCCTTCCAATCGACACCGGTGATGAACCGGTAACGTCTTTAGGTCAATTTACAGTAAGTGATGTCTATTGACCGAGTGTTTTAGACTTCTCAAGAATGATGGAGGCTGGTCCAGTTCATTTGCAAATTCGTCGAGTTAGATTCGTCATTGATTTTGCTCTGAAATCGGTTGTACGTCGTGACCATAGCGGTGATACACTGTCGGGCAGATTCTGCGGCTGCGAAGCAGGCGCAGGAGATGCCCGTGGAGTGTGCGGATTGAGTTTATCAATGGCGATCAAAGGTGAGTTAACCAATCCTATCCCAGCCTTCGCGAAGTCCTTGCAATTCGCAGTTCGAAGAACTGTCGATTGGGGAAGGTTTTTGGATGACATCGAACGACATTCACGCTACATTCGTCACTTCACCCCCGTGCGGATGACATCAAACAACACATCATACAGCAATCGATCGAATCGGTCTGAATAACACTTACAGGTTTTGATGGATGTCTGTTCTTTTTTTCCTTCTACTGTAGATTGATGTCAGATGCCATCAGAGGAAGTGGGGCCCCACGACGAACAACGTATTGTGTATTAGCGGACTACTACTACGAACAATGTATTGTGTACTAGCAAGCATTGTATTATTTTGATCAATATAATGCATCGGTGCTAATGATGCTAACCTTGGACACAACTGGTGCCGCCACATCACTGCATCGTATTATACTACTGTACATGCAGCTTCAAAGCTCTCAACATAGTACTTACTCATTGAGTGCCTACCAAAAATAGAGAAATCACCCGACATAGATGCAGCAGATATGACAGGCTTAACACGAAAATATGCCGACATATCCTAAAATTTGGCCGCCACAAATGTATTAATGAGCAAACTCTGGTCGATCCTAATAGTCTCATTTCAAGTCTTTGATCACACTATAGGACAGTTAGTGCGGGACACTTTGGAGCTGAATCTTTCCAGATCCGCTTGAAGTTCGCGAATAGCAGGCTTGAAGTTCGCCATTTCCCTTCCTACCCCCTCCTGCGCAAGCGCGACAATGATTGACGGAGACGACGGCGTGGTCCTGCTTCTCTACGAGGCGTACAAGGCGCACACCGAGCGCGTGCGTGACGCCCGCCGCAACGTTCATCAACTCCTGCTGGAGGAAGAGTGGCGCGTCGCCATGCGATCCCGCCACTACCTCACCACGCAGTGTCTCGACGCGCCGTGTGCATCAGGCTGGATGACGCTGTACGAGTACGGCACTGACATCAACTTCTTGAACGCTACGAGTCTGAAGCGGTGAGTTCTTTGAAAGGCTTGTATTACATCTCTATTCTAGCACTACTGCTACGAGTACAGTAGCGCGTTTGATCAGTTGCTCTGTAGATTCTCCTGCTTCTACTACATGCCGCCGCCGTCGTCAAGAGGGCGCCCACCCAAGCTGCGTTACTTACACCAACTGCTGGGTCTCGTTCTTACCTTCTACGACGGGTCGATGGAGCAGAGCTCCCTATGCATCACCTTTGGGGTCCCGCCCAGCACGCTCTCCAGGACGCTGCGCAAAGCCGAAGAGGCGCTAGCGCGGGCGCTGAACGGCTACGCTCCTGTGCGTATCTCGTGGCCCTCGCCCTCGCGCCAGGTAGAATTGGCGCGGATGTTCAACAAGCGTGAGACTTTGCTCACCCACACGTTCGGGTTTATAGATGGTAAAAACCTTCGTGTACGTATGCATGCTCTTGAACTTGCCTTTTACTTTGTATAATCATTAACTCTAAATGCTTTTGCAATGCGTTGTACAGGTGCAAGAACCTTCTAACGCAGACCTTCAGAACGCCATGTACAATGGCTGGCTGCACTCGGTCTTCGTGACCGGCACGATGTGCTTTGCAGCCGATGGCTGCATTATCTGGTCTCGCCACAACTGCCCGGGGTCGTGGAACGACTCGGACACGTCCTTGAAGTACCTCGGCAAGCTGACGGACCTCCAGTACTGCCCCGATGGTCGTATGGGCGTAGTGTCCGATTCCGCCTTCCCGTGCTCCACGGCCATGACGGGGCGAATCCTCACCCCGTTGAAGGACGGAGATATCAAGAAAATTGAGCCTTCACTGCGCGCCACCGCACGCACCCTACACAATGCTATCACTTCCATCCGCCAGGCTGCAGAATGGGGAATGGGTAGCTTGCAAAAGTTCTACAGCAGACTCATCTTGCCGCTGCCCTACGACCCGAACCTACGAGGCATGCGCATCGGCAACCTATTCCGGCTTGCGAACTACAGAGTTCGCACAGTCGGGATTTCAGAGATCAAGACCACGTTCTCGGGCGCGATGGAGATGCCCGAGCAACTAGCGCTGTAAGTGTTTTGCATCTCCGTCCGTAGCTTTCACGTACTAGTACAACGTAATAGCACCTTCGTTCGTGCAGCATGCACTTTAATAGCTACAATCGAATACATGCTGCCAATTCTCGCAGCAAAAGTTAAGTACCCTGTTGCTTGCGACTAAGAGCTGTATTGAAGATGATACGCTACTAAATACACTTCCTTCCTCTTTCGATCTCCTTGCTGTCTCCGTCATGCTAGAGCATTTGCGGCTCAGTCTTTCTTCGTTAGAGCGCCCAGAATGAGCAACAGCTCTTGAGTGCGAGCCCGAAAATCTTCCTTGTCACGACGGGCGCGCTCCTCTGCCTCTTGTTTCTCCTGACGGCGCCGCTCCTCCGTCTCCAGTCTCTCGTGACGGCTACGCTCCTCTCCTTCCGCCTTGTCGGCAAGGCAGCGGGCATCGCGAGCAGCAAGCTCGTCGCGGCGACGCTCCTCTTCTTCAGCGCGGCGGAGCTCAGCCTTGCGCTCGCTCTCATCGCGCATTAGCAGCATCATCTCAAACATGGAGCCGCCCATGTTGCTGGCGCTGCTCTCCAAGTCGGTCAGACGCTTCTTGAGCTCGGCGGTCGCCCTGGCAGCCTTCACGCGCTTCGCCTTGGCGAAGCTAGCCTCCGAGAGCTCCTCGTCGTCATCGAGGGCCCGCTTGCGCCCCAAGGTGTCACGCAAGTCAGCCAAGTCGATACCTCCGAGTCGGTTCGAGGAAGTCGCGTAGCCTTTCGGCTTGGACTCCTTCTTGCTTGGCGCGCGCCCTTTAGCGCCTTGCTGCGAACCAGATTTAGTCTTAGCAGCGCTGGCTGCTGTCGTAGATGCGGCAGCGGCAGCCGCTGCTGCAGCAGCAGCAGTGGGTCCTTGCCCAACCTTCTTTGCCGAGCTAGAGCGCAACTTGCGCTGCATCGACTTCGCCGACGGCGGAGGAGGGCGCGGCGTCGCGAATGCCTCCAGCCCCTCGCAGACGCCGGCTGCGTCGAGCAGCTCTGACAGGTCCGCGTTGCCCACGCTGTCACCGACCGACGTCGGCGTCTCGCCGGAGTGCATCGAGGCGTTAGTGGTCGTGCTCCCGCCTGAGTCAGCGTCGGCGTCTTCACGCGTGTTGTCCCCGAGCCCCTCCCCGCCCTCGAAGTCGAACGAGAAGTCCTGCTCATACTCCTCCTCTACTTGGTCGACGTCGGCACCGTCGTCCATGTCGACGACGCTGGCCTTGTCGTCGATAGCTTGTTTAAGCTGCTTCGCCAGCTGCACATTTGGCGGCATGTCGGCCACGTCCGTAGGTTTGCGCGCACTGTAGAGCACCTTGAACTTTCGACGGAGGCTCTCGTGGTCGCGCTCGGCGACACCACGGCCTCGGTTCGCGTTGTAGGAGTTTGCGAGTCGCTCCCATTCGTCCTTGTCAAGCGGGAGGTAGTGTTCGACGAGCGCCAGGAGGCGACGCACTTCGGACAGCTTGTAGTTAGTGCTTCCACTCAACTTCGCCATCTATAACCAAGCAAATGCATGAGGTTGTGAGTGTCAAACAGTAACATGTAGGTGCCAAGGTGACGCGACGGCAGCTTTCATGAGGAGAGCAGCGTACCGGAAACGGGGTAGGAGGAGGTGAGCGGGGTCGAGTGGGGGCGTGGACTTGAGCGAGGCTTGGGAAAACCAATAATGAGAGCCACAGGAGCTTGGTTTCCTCTCCGTCGCCGAAGGAGGCTCCAGCAAGGCAAACACAGCACTGCTACTTGAAGTTGGCGCGTACTGCGTTGGCGCGTACGGCTACTCGCGGCCCTAGTTGGCGCGCAAACGAAGCGAGCTCGTGGTTGATACAAAGATTAACATAGAGCCACATAGCAGCTCACAGCGTTCATTTTGGCGCCAAGTTCACGTCGATCTCTGCTGGCCCGTCAACAGCAAAGGCAAGGTACAAGGGACAGATGCACTTCAACGCAGTTAGATTCAACAGCGAACCAGATTTGAATACAATGTCCTTAGCAATTGCTGCAAATCTCCCACTACTACTTCTTGACTTCAACCAGACCTCGACCTTGAGAGCGCCGCCTACGGGTCTTGCTCGTGTTGGATGTCGCGGTGGCGGCAATTCGCGTGGCCACAGCGGCACACGAACCACAAATCTGGTCCGTAGTCCACGGTAATTTCGTCTCCCTCGTCGATAGCATGCGCGGTGGCTACAACCACTGTGGTCTACCGCCCATTCGCAACTTCCAAGAAGCGCGCCACAGGCGCGCACGAGTGGTTGACGAAGCGAATTAGTCCACCCATCTGCTGCGCGTTGACGGCTACTCGGACGGGGAGGCTTGGTGTCTCGGGCCTCTGCGTCATGACCAGCCGATAGCCTTCATTCCGCGGACGAGCAGCGTGAGAGGCGCCCACATGCTCAATCTCTCCCAGGTATTCGCCCAAAATCATTCCAGCAGCGATGAACTCCTGCGCCACCACGGCCAATTGTCTGGTCACCAAGTTCCTCGCCACGGCAACCTTGGTCGACTCGACCAAAGCATTCCCACAGTTGCCGCTGTAGGGGCAACAGTTCACGTTGCAATAGAGCTGCATGAGGGAGTTGCGGCAGCGTCCAACTCGACACGGGTCCTCGCAGTTGCACCAGCCGAAGTGCGGGACCGCAGGGAAGATGACCCCCGTGGGGTTAAATTGCGTGCGGAGGTGGGCTACGGAGAACGGCCAGCGGGCGGGAACGAAGCGGCCTTGGTAGTGAACACCACGAGTGCGAGCTGGGCGCTGGAACCAGAGACGCCGACCCACGGGCTGCGCGCATGACACCATTCGGCGCCACAGTCGGCGGTGTCGCTTCATGACGCCGCTCGCGACGTTGATACGGTCCAGCAGCCGCTCGTCGCTCGCTGCGCGAGCTATGGCGCTCACGGAGTGGCCGTCGGTCTGGCGGCAAAGACGATCGTGGGTGTGGGATGGCGGACCTTCCAGCAGAACCGGCGACGATGTTGTCGGGCTACGCGGATTCCTCGTGGGCGGCGGGGTTGCAGGCGTGGCAGGATCCGTCTCGGACGCCGTGGCCGCCGTGACGCCAGCCGTCGTCGGCACAGGATCAGCCGTGAGCGGCGTGGTCACCGTGGCGCCAGCTGTCAATGCCTTCGTCGGGGGATTGGACACCTCCTTCGGGACGCGGAGCCCGTGCTGCGGCGACATCCACGGCGGCGTCGTGGCCCCCTTGGAGCTGGTGCTCCAGGGGGAAGAAGACTTCGCGCTCTCGGCTGGCGCTTGGGTGCCGCCTCGCTGCACATTCGGCGGCACGTTCTCGTCTTCACTCGACGAGTCCAGGATGCATCGTGCGCTCCAGTGCACGGCGGAGTGTACGAGGCGAACCATGATCGCTGCGAGTATTAGTAGAGCATGTTAGCATAGTTTCGACCAAGCCGCTAGTCGTATCAGGCAACTTACCCGGTGTTTTTTTATGCTGACTGCAGCGCTTCCAGGCGCTAGTCACTTGGCCGTGATTTTTCGAAAGTGAGAGGTTGAAGCTGGAGGCGCACAAGATGAGTTATGTCGCCGATATGCCTGCAGAGTGATGGTCAACATAATCCATACAAATTTCAACATTATTTTTTATGATGGCTACAGGATATAAGTCTAGGGTTAGGGCTGTTTATTGAGACCATTTTTACGTCTCACGAGATGTATGCTCCGTTTAAGACCTGTCATATCTGCTGCATCTATGTCGGGTGATTTCTATTTTTGGTAGGCGCCCATTCCATTAGCGGTAAAATTACCGATTCGATCTGTTAGAGCATCTCCAGCGGTTGGTCTCAATCGCGGTTTTATCCTAAAAGTAACGGTGTTAAGACTTGGCCGAGACTTAAGACTCCCGGCGGCAGGTCCTATTGCAGGTTTTAACTTCACTGGGACCTATAGATTGGCTTCCGAGCCTTAAAATAAGACCCCAATCATAATGCCACCAATACAAAACTGAAGAGTCGCCGTACTCAAATGATTGCACCAAAAGTGAATGCGATTTTCAAAGCGTGGATACACTTATAAGACTCGCTTTTAGAACTCACCGCTGGGGGGGGGAGTAAGTCGGTCTGCGCGGGTCTCAACTGTAAAATTGTGGTCTCAAAGACCCTGTTACGTCTTAGGATAAGACCTCACCGCTGGAGATACCCTCCTCTTTCAGACACAGATTTTCTTCTGCATGCATAGTTTCTCAGAGAGAGATATTGAAAATCGTGTGGTCAGCTGAGTTTGCCGTGACATAAACTGTCGGTGGGCTGATATTGTATGAATCCCCCCACTCACTGGAATTAATCCGGATGGATTAGATAAAACATTCCACTAAAACATTGCAAAAAACTACTTAAAAGCCCTAGGTTGTTCGATCCAAGATAGGAAGTATAGCTCGATTTTTTTCGTTCAACAATTTTTTTAATCTGAACCCAACTCTATCCGCCGGCAATGCAGTGACGTCCTATACGGTGACGAACGAATTCATTCAGCGGAGACTCAAAAAGAGCTGCACCTGGTGGTACGTCTTCTCCGGAAAAAAAGCTAAAAGCTAGCTGCACTAGCTTAGGCATTTATCTATGAAGACTAGGATGATTTAAGCTTGTCTTGTGTGAGACTACAAAACGACCCGCAGAGATCCACCGAACTGGTGGTGTAGAATGATCTACGACTTGATCCTGTTCTTGTCAAAACAAGTTCAAAGTACATTGTTACCGATATTAGTTCAGATCATCCTAATGCTACATGCATACAGTACCTTCAGATTAATACTTGATAAATGACATTATCACCACTGGGGTACCAGTCAGCACTGGTGGCTTTCGTCAAATCATTGTAGTTATCTCACGTTTTGGGGGTGAAATATCTGTTTATTTGACGAGGGGTCTTCTAGATGCTGGTTGGGCAAAATTACGTCTAACGTTGCGGCTAGGGGCCAAGCCGCTAGAGGGGCGCCAAGCCAGCACGGAAAGAAGAGACACGAGTGCAGGGGACAGCTTGGAACAATGAGCAGCACGGAGGCAGAGACTCGAATGCAGGTCGCCCTGAAGGAGTCTGTCCAGCGGACCTACGAGAAGGCCACTACACTTCGACCTAAGAACACGCAGAGAGCATACAGCAGTCGGCAGCAGGAGTTCTTAGACTGGTGCTCGGAAAAAGGAGCAGCATTTAATAACCTGACCCGGTTTACAGTTACTGGTGAGAAGCTCCATCTCTTCCTACAAGAGCGCGTAATTGGCCGGACCAAGCGCCACAAGAGTGGAAGTACACCCAGCGACAGAATTGAAACCGTCGGACGTTCTACTGTGAACTCCTACGTTGCTGCGATGGTTGACCTATGGAAGCAGCAATCTCGGGCTAAAGTGAACAGCAATCCCTCCCCCAGAGACGAAGCTGTGACGACCCTATTGAAGTTGACAGAGTACGAAGAAGACGAGAGGAAGCGGAAATTTTTAGAGGACCGTGGAGCTGATACACTACTGGATGGCCATACGACAATCGATCAAGTTAAGGAGATAGCTCGGTATTTCTGGACACCGGCACGCGATTCAGGCAAAAACTTGCGGAATTTGGTTGCTTTTCTACTGAGCCAATACGCCCTTATGAGAGGAGAGTCGGCGCGAATAATGGAATTGGCAGACTTACACTCGATTGTTCTCAAAAACGAGGGCTACACGCCATGCAGGGCTCTGGTTATGGGGTAAAACCAACCAAGTGGGGCGCATTGAAGTCGGCGCTTGTATGCGCAATAAGCATGTCGAGATCTGCCCCCATGGAATTCTTGGATTTTACTTGTTTTGGCGTTGGCATGTGGATGGCGAGGCATTTCCCGACTTTACGTCTTCAGAGCGCTGGTATCCGATAAAGCTCTTGAAAACAGGTAAACACCCCACGAAACCAATGTCGTACAAAGTTCACAATGCAGCTATCACAGCGGCGTTGAAACATGTCGGCGTCCACAGCAAAGCAAAAACTCACGTTGGCCGCGGATCCGGATCGCGTATGGCGGACTTAGGAGGCGCAAGTGAGTCCCAGATTCGTCGTTTGGGTCGGTGGAACGGCCAATCAATGGAGAAATGTTACCTCACATCCCTTCCGAGGCAGGCGATGCGCACACTTGCCGATTTTGAACCGAGTATTGGGAGCTTTTTTGTTGCCCGAGCTTCTGTTGATCCCCCGCTAGCATTGCAGAGTATGGTATTTCCGCAGGTGGAGGTTTGGCAACAGGCCATTGCTTCAGGAACAGCGGAACAATTGCTTGCGGCCGGAGGTTTTCTCGAGTTGCTCCAATATCTCCGTAAGGTCGTCCTCCAGGATGCTGTATTTTTGCAGAAATCCGCACCAACGCACCCAATTTGGCAGCACAGCATATTTCAATCCCGGGAGTTCACGGAATTTAAAAGTGAGGTTATGCAAGCTGTTGAAGTAATGGAAGATCCAACTGAACAGCGTCTTCAGAAAGCTGTACCGGTGTTAAACGCCAAAATCGACGGGCTACACCAGGATTTCAAGAGTTCTTTAGCTCAAGTCTGCTCGACCATGCGGACGGTTCAAGGTAGCCTTAGTGACGTAATGCGCGTGTTGGCACCTCTGCAAGGCGGCACTGCTGTTGTACAAGTTCAGCTTCTATCTGGTGGGCGCGAAGGCGACGGCGATGCCGCTCATCTAGTGCCGTCAGCTTCGCCGATAGCTATTGACGTGCAAAGTGATCGGCCAAAGTATAAACTTCGGCTGGGGGTGGCTACTGTGCCGGACTTCTGGAAAAAATGGTCGGTCGGCTTAGATGGCGCCAGAGCTGTCCGAGATCTCGAGGATCAGTTTGGCACAAAGTGGTGTAGTGCGGACGAACGACGGTTCTTCAATAGAGGGCGGTCAATTTACAGCTTAGTCGCTGCGGTTGCAGATGATATTCTGACGTCAGCTCGGGTGTCTGACGTCGATGCAACTAATCTAGCCGTGCAAGTATTGGAGGAGTACCGGCGTACCCATAACAAATCTCTGAACTGGATAGCGAAACATGCGGGCGAGATCAAAGATGCTGTCCAAGCTATTGCTGTATCTCGCTGCTCCGTTTCCACGACTAGTATCTCCGATCCCAGTCCCAACGATTGTGACCACGCCCCGCGATGCCAACCGTATCTTGCAATATTTCAGAACTCGTCAATAGTCGGACGTATGTGTTCACCGTAGTCCTACGGATGACGCGCGAGGAATCACAGTTTGAACAGTGAAGCAACGCTAAATCTAGTTGGATACATACAGGATGAAGTACTACAAGTCGCACTTGAGAATATCGCCAAGCAGTCGAGTATCAACCACAGAAAAACATGACGAACGCTCCTCCTTTCTATTAACCCGTGGGTATTGTTTGAACCGCAGTGATCCTACGCGGTACCGCAATGCATGCGGTACAGCAGTATTACAGTGCGGTACCGCAGTGATGTATTGTGGTAGGTACCGCACTGATGTTTTGCGGTACCACATATTCCGATACTTGCTGCATTGAGCCATAACGTCAATAACCGGAACCGTGTTAAAAAGAAGTTGATTGTGTTTCTACTCACCGGGTGCTACAATTAATCAAGCTGGAGATATAGTCCTATACAACTTAGCTCGGTATGCTGCTGCCTTCTTGACGCCGAAATCACCCCCTGTCCACGCGGCGATCTTCTCCTCGATCGATCCAGGCTTCTCGGCTGCAATGTGTTTTGAAATCACATCCATGTAATGGAGCACGCAAACTCCACCGTCGATGCAATTTGATTGCTGGGGCTTGGTCAAATGGACAAAGGTGCTCCACTCAAACGGAGCCGAAGATTCTGCTTGGGATTTATGGGTCTCTGATAAGACCCATTGCAGAACGTCAAAAGCATACGCCGAGCTGTGAGCATTTTTCATCGAGTTGACGTGATAAACTTTTGTTGGCCCCGGGTGGATGGGGTTCTCAATTACCAAAAAGCTGTAGTGGTTGCGACCCGATACTGGGAGAAGCACATACTGGTAGGCCGACCAGTCAAACAATGCGACTAGGTCAGCCAACAGTCGGCGTCTTCGTTTCGGCTTTCGCGTGAATCGTGCAGTCTCCATCAATACGTACAACTCCGAGTCACATACGCGAATTAATCCTTTAACTCGCTCCATATAGCGACAGATAAAATAATCCAGCGCGTTTGGGTCTACCAAGCGCCAGTCTGCAAGCTATCCAAATCCACAGGGTAAACGTGCACTGGTCGGGGGTGATCGTCATCTTTGAGATCGGTCCACACTATCAGAGGATCATTTTTTGACACGCGCTTTCTGAAAAACCGATTCGGGGGGTCCACATCGTCATCATTCACGTCACTTTCTTCCGCATTGCTTGGCCCATACGCGCTTCTTGCGCGAAGCGTGCAGCGCTATCCGAGATGTCGGTGCCTTTGTCGCCTGCGTAGGCCCAGAAGCCTCTGTGGCAGCGCATGTTGTTTTTTGAGCGACGAGGGAGGTTGAGGGAGACTTCTGAGACAATGAGCTGTGAAAGGACTTGCGCGTGCTACTGACCTATTATTGGCTAAAAAGGGGCAATGGCTGTTATCTGCCTGGGGTCTTCGACTGGATACTTATCGACAAGAGACCGGGTCCCGGACTCACTCTGCGGAAGGGTAGATAACCCGTCAATATCACACTTGGACGAATCGAAGCTGACAGGTTTTTGTTGTTGTTTGATCTTCAGGCGACCTGGACAAAATATGTGCGCGGCTGCACCATGTTTTATCAAACAGAGTTTGAATGCTCCTACGTTGTCGCTGTACGCCGCGCTTCCTGTGCGAGAGGAAGCACCGGGCGGACATTGTCAAAGCGAAGGACGAACACCCGGTGTATCCTACTCCTACACGCGATCGAAATCTGCTAGACCTCAGTTTAAACTCATCAATCTTGAAACAAATTGCTGGCTTCATCGGGTTATCCTCCTGGGAGCGCTAATTATTCGAATGCACGTTTTTTCTTGTGTTATCGTCACGTGTAAGTTTCCGAGCACAACACTGCAATCTAAACAATAAAGGATTCTGCCTGGGCATCAGCGCACATTTCAGTAGCAGGAAGGAAGGAGATTACGTTGATCACCTCGCTGTTGATAACCGTTCTACTAACTACAAAGAACTAAAGTTAAAACTAAATACGTGGAGCCCTCATTCGACGAGCAGGAGGAGGTAGAATCCTCACGGTGGGTTTGTCAAACCCAATCGTTGAAGTACCGATTCGTTGGAGTGACGATACATGTATATGAACTGGCAATGCCTTTGAAAATAAGCGATCAAACTTTGTACACTTGGTTGTACCGTGGTAGATTAGGCAGATGCTGCGGCTGTGAAGCAGGCGTAGGGGATGCCCGAGTACATCGTTTCCCTGTAAGGGTATCCGTACAAGCTAGCTTCGAACTGCGAAACCCCCCGGGTCCACCAACCGGGTCCCCAATGTGGCTACTCTCAAATAAATACCCTTTAAAATCTTAGCTATTGTACTGACTAAAATGCTAATGTTCGCCGTGTAGTAGAACGTGATACACTAAAATGCTAATGTTCGCTGTGTAGTAGAACAAGCAACTGACAAATTCCTGAGTTTTGAAGCGATCCACGTAGAAGCTAACGTAGCCCGGAGCTGACTACATTTTTTGGAGCGGAGAAAACGCCCAACGAATTGCAGACATCAATCGACAATTGTTTGTGTCTGATAGTCCTGTGCATGCGCTTGCCAATCTACGCTTCGGTTCTCAGCCTGCTAACCTGTCAGTTTAGAATATATATTTATCTATGAACTTGAACTATCGTGCACCTTACTATTTCGCCCCAAACGGTAACTCCGAAGTCGTGATCAGTTACCAGCAAAGACTGCCTTTGGGATGCAATTCAGGTTGGTTAAGTTTCAGCAAGCCATTTGCCACCTTCCTCATTATCCGCAAATGGCGTTCCGCCCATGTTTCCCCTGTCTTTTCCTTTTTGGGAGTTGGGTGTGCACTAGCACAATATCGAAAAACAATTCACATAGCACGCCAAGCCTTTACTGTTGGAATGTAGAAACTGATTAACGCTAGGGGGTAGTTTTTTAAAGTCAAAATTTGTGACTATTAGAGTATGTCCATTTACTCATGTACCCCCCGGGTGTGGCACAGAGTGGCCAAATTGAGTGTGATTGTCGCCCTACGACGCAAAATTTTCACCAAGTCTTTTTCGATGCTGCTACAGTCTCCGACCCTGGCGAGACTTTATGAATTGCGCACAGTCTCGGCGTTTTTATGCAAGCTGAAGCACTTTCTCTGGCGGAGACTGTATGCGTATCCCTGCCAAGAGAGGCTCGCCACGAGAACGATCGCTTGGCACTTGGCTCATCAGTCGAACGAGGGGGATCCAATTCACACCGCGCGTCCTACAACAGGCGACAAAGCCCGAGGCAGGGACTCGCCGGAGCACACTTCAGACTCAATCATATTCGGTGTTAGTGTGCCCCACTAATTCTTGTGGAGTTTGGCACTCTTATCTTCATTTTCGCTAGTGAAGCGCAATGCAAACAGACCTCCGATTGGTGGCCAAGCGATGGTTACTTTTGTGCGGTGACCCCTTCAGCTGGTTATCATTGTGACTCGCACCAGTTCAATCGTTTGCTCACCCGAGAATGTCGGCAATGCTCATCGTTCGGCGAGGCGTTTGAGGGTCCTCCTTGTGGCTTTCGAGAATCTCGCTCAGCGGGGGGAGCTCCTTTTGCTGTTCCGGCTGCAACGTGAACGAGGGCTCCTGTCTGTTGCAGGCGACGCCATCTCGAGTGAGCAGTGCCTGCGAGAGCACAAACGAGAGCTCCTGGCGATCCGGGAGGAGCTCACTTAAAGCTGCGGCAAAATCCATATCCTCCTCGATTTGCGTGATGTGACCCGTGCTCCTCTCAACCGAGAGAAAAAGTTCCGATGGCACCATGATCACTTTGTCCACCAATGCGTCGAGCAGCGGCAAGTTGGAGAGCAGGTGCGGAAACACCGCCCGGATAGTGGGGAAGGTAAGACGGAGAACGTATCTCGCCGTTACGTTGATTAAGCACACTCCGCTCCTGTTGTCGCACTCTGTGCGCGCCACCCCCTTCTGCTGGAAGCCCAGCACTTCGAAGCATTCGCTGAGAGCCCGCCAACGGTCTTCCACGTACTCAACGATAGTCACCCCCTCAGGATCAACTCTCGTTTGTGGAGCAAATCGTTGCGCGAGGAAGTCGCGCTGCGATACTTGCTCAGGCGTCACGGCGCCAGCACGTCCTGGGTGCTGGTAGCCACCGGCAAAGACCGAGAAATAGTCGTCAACGATTCGCTGGCAGAACTCCTTCGAGCTCGAGTCTTTCGCTGGTCTCACAGAGTCCACGGGTACAACGGAAACATTCGACCGATGATTCTCTTTGTCCGATTGTCCATCGAAATCGCCAAACTCGTCGTAGGTTTCAAGTTGAAGAGGAGGCGCCTTCTCTTCCTCTTCGGGAGCTGCAGGTTCCTCCACGACACCCAGCATGGCGTTTTCCCCAATCAGCGCCCGACCGAGCAGAATGTCCACAATGAGTGGGTCCTTCACAACACTCGTAAACGCCCCGACAAAGTCCATGTCCACATCATACTTGAAGCACTTTCCAGCGGAGTTGAAGTGGAACGTCGAGCGCGCGGGCGCTACCACCTCTTTACCCACCAGTTGAGCTACGAGCCATTCGTTGCCCATAATGTGCGGGAACACGAGTTGAATCGTGGTACGCATGACTTGAAACTCGAACGACCCTTTCACGGACACCAGCACCGAGTCGTCGGCTTTGACGATGCCGACGACATTCCCCGTCATGCAAATCCAACGGAGAAACGTGGTGTACGCCGTCATCTGCCCCATCATGACTTCCGGCCCGCAGAGGCCGTTGCCCACGTCCACCTGCTCGTCCATCATGCTGTGCATGAAGGCGCGCTGGTCGCGGTCGTCGACGAGTCGTTTGCGCCCCGATTCTTGCAGGACCGCCCCCTTGCGGAACACATGGAAGTACTCATTGACCATGCGACTGAGCGAGCCCTCGGGCGAGTCGCGTCGCACCAGCGACTGCGTGCTCAGGACATCGCGCAACGTGATCAAGTTCTGCACCTCCTGGCGCAGATTCTGCACGTCCAGGGTGAGGTTGAAGTCGGCCGAGCGCTCGCGCAGCACCGACTGGAATCGCCCCCAGCCCTTACGCTGCTTGCGCGGACGGCCGTCCTTGTTCTTGGTCACCTTGCGGAAGAACGGGGTTGGCTCCATTGTTCGTTCGTCCCCCAATTGCGTAAAGTGATGATGGCAACGTTTAGGCCGTTCGTCGCTCGAAATAGTATCTTCGTTTCAGTATTGTATACATTTTGACCCAATCAGACGTTTTTAACGTCGGAAGCATCCAATCACATATTTTTACCTACCGTTTTGAAAGGCTACGAATATAGAAAAAAACGACGACTGCTCTGATGTGGGCAGCGCAGCGCGGCGACGAAGCTGGCGCTAGCTGAGTCAGGGCGGTAGTAGGAGAGCAAAGGAGTTGGCCAGGCAGTGCGCGGAGCAAGACCGAGCGGAGCTCTTGGCGACTTGAGCAGGGGGTCTTCTCTCGGTGGTCGACAGGAGAGAATTCAGGACGCATGCAAATAAAATTTCGGACTGACTTTATTTGGTGTAAAATACATATTTTACGTAGCACGTTACATTGTGTGCGACACATCGGTGGGGAGAAGGATAACCTCACCATGAGGAGACATCATGACCAGGTTCCGAATGGAAACAAACTCACAGTCGGATCCAAGACACAGCTAACAGCAGCTATTGCACTATTCTTCAGTTAAGAATGTCGTTGATACTCATCGTCCTTGGCGGTGCAGCGACTGACTTCTTCTTTACTGGAGGCCTATTGCTACCAGCCTGCAGTCCTGCTCGCTCGAACGAGGACGCCACGACTTCATTTCGGCAGCTCACACCATCCACTGCCAGCTTCGCCTGGGACAGTACAGTCTGCGCATCTTTCGCGTTCGTGACGATCTTCCTCATGGCCATGGCGAAATCCATGCGCTCCTCGATGCGGCAGATTCGTCCCGTGTCAATCTCGACACAGAAGTTGATCTGCGCCGGAACATTCAGCACCTTCCCTAAGAGAGAGCTGTACGGCGGCGAATACGTCGGAATGTGTGGGAATACGAGCTGCATCGTGGAGAGAGCGATGCGGAGAATGTACCTCCCCGACGAGTGGATGGTGCACGTGTCGGCCTGGCGGTCGTACTCCACTGAGGCGACTGCTTTCTGGTGGAACTTCAGGACCGATAAGCACTCGGTTAGTGACCGCCATCGCACCGCCACGTCCCTAGCGCGCGTGTTGTTGCCAGGCACTGTCTCCGGCACGAATCGATGCAGTAAAAATCCACGCTGGAGATCCACCGCCGACTTCGCGCAGTTGGCCTTATCGTCGGCTTGGTAGCCGTTCGCGAACGCGGCGTAGTAGGCGTCGACTGCTTCATGACAAGAAACCCGCCAGTCTTGGGACAAAGGCTCGAAATCTGGCTGGAAAGCTAGAGCCATCGTCCGTACAGGAGCGAGGATGCTCCGTTTTTACTGCGGGGATCATTTATCTGCCTCGCCAACGCGTCGCGCTCGTCTTCCAGCGTCTTCGCATACGACGCAGGAGCTGCTGCGGGCTTCTCTTCCTCTGGCTCAGCGACTTCATCAATGACTCCGAACATGCAGTTGTCTGCTATCAGCGCGCGACCAAGCAGCATGTTGACGATCTCAGGGACCTTAACAATGCTGGTGAAGGCCCCCACGAAGTCGAGGTCCACCTCGTACTTGCAGCACTTGCCCTCTGGGTTGAAGAAAAACGTGATGCCGATGGTCGGCTCCACCTCCCGACCCACGAGCTGCGACACCAGCCACTCTTCCGCCACGATATGGGGGAAGATCATCTCGATGGTAGCGCGCAGGATCTGGAACATCAGCGTCGCGTTGGTCGTGATAACCACCGAGTCTTCCGCCACGACAATGTCGAACGAGTGCATCGTGAGCCGGATGAACTTGATGAACGTCGAGTACATGGTCATCTGGTTCATCATGACGTCGGGGCCGTGCAGTCCATTGCCCACGTCCACCTCTGCGTCCATGACGCTGTGCATGAACGCGCTTTGGTCCTGCTCGTCCATGAGCCTCTTGCGCCCCGCCTGCCGGAGCACTGAGCCAGTTCGAAAGACGTGGAAGTACTCCTTCACCACATGCAGCAGCGAGTCCTCGGGCGTGTGGCGCTGCAGCAGGCTCTTGGTGCGTAGGATGTCGCGCAGGACCGCCATGTTGTGCACCTCCTGCTGCAGGTTCTGCACGTCCAGCGTCAGGTTGAAGGCCACGGAGCGCTCTCGGGGCACGGAGCGGTAGGGCCCCAGGCTTGCGCGGCGTGCCATCCTTCTTGGAGCGTTTGGGGCTTCGGGGCAGCGTCCACGGGGGAGGGACCTGGTCAGGGGCTTCCATGTGCGAGGGATGCGGCGGGTCTTCGAGTGGGAGGTCGCCACCGGGAGGTCAGAGAGATCCTTCACTTGACTCCAGTATCGAGCTCACTTTTATGAAGCTGGACACCGACCCCACCACCACGAGACGGCAGACCCTCTGCACACATTTCACAAGGCGACACCTTCGTCCAAGGCAAGCCGCGTGCGCGGCACGAGCAGACGCAAAGTCAACTGGGCCCATTTGCATTGCAGCGGTTTCAGCGGCCTCACCCTGCCTGGCCTCGGCACCATCCTCGAGCTCATTCGAGTTCGCGCCTCTTCGTGCTCAAGTCCATCGATAGATCCCAACTCCATGCCGCAAGACTCAGTGCTCCGTGCCCAACGAGCGCGGGCAAGTCGACGCCCCCGCATTCAATGTACGCTCAGGCACTCGCGTCTACGCAGATGGAACCCCTTCAACCGAGTCGATACATTCAAGAGCGCCAAGATGGCGCCGCCTCTAGGAGGGTTAGAATCACTGACATTCTGAACTGAGTACGTGTAGATAACAAGCCGGGTCTAGACACTGCGCAACAAGTTGATGAAGCAAGATGGCCATGCGTCTGAGTACGATGTTGTTCCTCTTTTCCTCCTGCATATTTGTAATATATGTTCGTTTGCAAAGTATCCTACCACATCACGCAGAGATTTCGGTTTTGATCATCGTTCCTCTTGGATCCTTAGGGTCAACTCATTTTCATTCACGCTTTTTCACCTTCGGAAGTTTAGTTTACCGGGAACAATGTCGGGAATTATTGACAGAAGGCCGAAACTACTTTGTACCTCGTACGGCGCGCGTAGTTTCGTGGCATTCCGTTGTACAGCGCCGGAATCCTAGAGTACAGTATGAATGGGAAAAACAGCAGTCTTCCAGGCTGCCGACCTCGATATCCAATCTCCTGCTGCACAGGAACGTTGCTGTTTGCGTGAGCTCGCCGACCCATATGTGGAAGTCCCTACCGCCCTACCTGCCGTTACAGTAGGCACCCACACTGCGCCACAGTGGCCGCAGTGCACAGCAGTGGTTTCACCGGCCTCCTCTCTCTACCCGCGAATGGTCGCCAGGCTGTCGAGGTCCAGGGGACAGACACGTGCATTCGCAGATTCGACGGCCCCCTCTCAAGCTCGAGCGCCAGCCAGACCCCTTGCTTGCTTCAGTCGTCTTCGTCATCGGCATGTCAAGTCAAACCCCAGCTCTGGGCGTGTACCAGCCGACGATTCGACGAAAACCCAAGCGCTTCAAGAAGGACGGCACGCCCTACAAGCCCCGGAAAGGGTGGGGGCCCTACCGCTCCGCCCCCAACGAACGCGCCGTCGAGTTCAACCTCCAGCTCGACGTACAGACCTTGCAGCAGGAAGTGCAAAATATGACCGCTCTACGGGACATTCTGCAAGCCACGGTTCTACAACAACGCCACTCGCCCGAGGGCTCTCTCCTTCACCTCGTGAAGGAGTACCTTCAAGTATTCCGGTCGGGCGGGGCGCTGCATGACCGCGGGTCGATACCAGGACCAACGCGAGTTCATGTTCAGCATCGTGGACCCTGAAATTGACGTGGGCAACGACTGCCGAGGCCCCGAGTACATGATGTACCAGATGGACATGTACTCGACTTTAATCCGCTGGATCCGCATCACCATGCGTTCATATGATATTATCCAAGCCGAGGATTCGATCGTGGTCAGGGCGACCTCGACGCTGCGCTTCCAGGTCGTGCGCGCCACGATCGAGAGGATCTTCCCTCACATTACGGAGGGCAAGTTCTCCAAGTTCGAGGGAGACATGGACTTTGTTGGGGCTTTTGCTAGCATTGTGAAGGACCCAGCGGTGGTGGAGATGCTGTTTCGTCATGCTTTGATCGCAGACAACTGCCAGCTTGGCATGATCGATGAGCCAGAACTCTCGGAGCTTGAGATTGAGGACAAGCCAGTGAAACCTCTCGGAGAGCCTCCGCTGGCTTCTACGAACTCTTCGTCCCAGGCCCCATTGATACCTTTGCGGCAAGATTTCCAGAAGTCCTGCTTACAGGTTGTGGAGAATTACTATGTCGCCTTTGCGAACGGCTACCTGGCCGATAACAGCACGCGCTGTGCCCTGCAGCGCGATTTCCTGTTGCATCGATTTGTCCAACCTACGGCACATGGTAATATGACGACCTCCAAGAACATCGAAGACAGGTGGAGGTCGCTGAGTGAGTGCTTTGCGGTGCTGGGCTTTCACCAGAAGGCTATGGCTTCGGTCGAATATCACCAACACGTGGGTGTATGTGCAATCAGCTCGTCGGCTAGATACACGCTGCGTATCACCCCTGCAACGGTCGTGTCTGTCTTCCCGCATCTTCTCGCGTACCCTCAATTGTGCGACGCCCTTGTTGGCGAAGTGCTGGCGGTTCCATCGCAGATTTGCTTCGCTATCGAGGTGGATTCAGGTCGCATCTGCCGGATTGAAGAGCGGGTGGACTTCGCAACTGCCGTGTCCAAGATCGTCCCTAATAGGCAAGAGTTGCAGTTCATGCTGTCAAAAGCGAAGCTTGCGTTGGATGACGTCAGCTACCGAAGTGAGGTGGTGCGGCCAACCTCCAGCACTGATCAAGGCGCTGAGTGGTCTCGTTCCCCTCATACAGCGACAAACAGCTCGAAAGTAGCGCCAATTACTCGGACGATGCACATTGCTGACATCCCTACATGAAGGAGAATACAAATTACGAAGTGTAACCCAATTTTCTGCGTACATCTTCGACTTGAATTAACAGTACTGTACAATGATTTGCTTGAAGGAGCCGAACACCGAAAATGGTCGAATGTAACATTTACCCCTTCGTCCTCAACCTACAAACAATGAGGTTAGAAGCTTACACTTCAAGGCTCCTGGAACGAGGATCAGCTTGAACAAAAGGCTCAGGGATGAAAGCCGGTGCTCAACTGACGTGGCCGAAGCTGAGGTGGTTGGCGAATACGCGCAGATCGAGCTTCCAGTCTACTCCCATCCACCCCGTCCTGAGCAAGTAGTGCCTGAGAGACCACAAACGTGCACTCGCGGCGGTCAGGCAGCAGTTGAGCCATGGCAGACCCAAAGTCCATGCTCTCTTGGATGCGGCGGATCACGCCCGCCCTCTTGTCAACTGAGAACAAGATCCGAGATGGCACCACGATTACGTTCCCCACGAGGGCGTTGAGCAGCGGAAGGTAGGAGTGAAGGTGAGGGAACACGGACTGGATGGTGTAGAACGTGATGCGAAGACTGTACCCCGCTGTGGACTCCACCAGACACTGGCTGCAGCTCTTGCCGCACTCGGTGCGCAGCTCGCCTTCGCCGCGTACTCTTCGCGTCCGTATGCAAACGCTGAGAAATATCCTTCCACAATCTCCTCCACTGCTTCCTTACAGGCGATTCGTTCTCTGCAGGGCGAGGTACATACTGAAGTCTTACACGCGGCTGCAGTCTGAGGTCGACAGCATTTCCTTTGCGAGTACTCAGATGCTGTCATGCTGTCACGCTGTCCACACCAGGCTGACATGTAATAGCCATCTTCTCTTCGTCATCAGGCTCGCTAGACTCCCGAACAAAACCAATCATTGCGTTGTCTGCGATAAGAGCTCGCGCAAGGAGCGTCTCCACTGCGTCAAGATCATTTAATAGCATCATGAAGGCCTTAACAAGGTCTGCGTCCACACTTAGCTTGAAGCACTTTCCAGCTGCATTGAAGAGAAACATCGCTCGACCTTCAACCAGCAGCTCCTGACCGATCAACTGCGCCACGACCGACTCGTTCGTCATAATGTGCGGGAAAACCTTCTCGATCGTGCTGCGAAGGACTTGCAGCTTCACTGAAAACTTGGTCGAGACTAACACTGAGTCATCAGCTTTGACCATAGTGTCAATCTTCCCAGCCAGGTGGATGAAGCGCATGTAGGTCGAGTACCTTTCCATCTGCTCCAAGACGACGTCAGGCCCGTACAACCCGTTGCCCACATCGACGGCCTCGTCCATCATTGTGTGCACGAATGCTCGTTGGTCTTGATCGTCTGTTAGTCGCCCTCGACGGAAGACGTGGAAATACTCAGTCACCAGCTGAGACGCGGACTCCACAAGCGCGCTACGTTGAAGTAGAGTGCTGGAATGTAGAACGTCTCTCAGTGCTGCTAGGTTGTGTATTTCCTGCTGCAGCGCTTGCACGTCGAGCTGTAGGTTGAATGCGGCCGCGCGCTCGTTGGGCACGGAACAGTCACCCTTTCCTTGGTTTGTAGGGCGTGCCGTCCTTCTTGAACCTCTTGGGTTTGCGCTGGAATGGCTGCAGGAACTTGACGTAGTCCTCCTCACCCTCGGACACATGCTCTGCGTCTCGACCAGCAGCTGGCGAGGCGGCCATCTTGGTTTTGCTGCAAAATTGTCCTGAACCAAATGACAGACATGCATAGTCCTCCATGCAGCTGGGGTGAGAATATAGTGAAGCTGCTAAGCGACTGTAAAATAGTTACCCGCTCCGGTCTTTTGATGCTATCGGCTCGACAGCACAGCACTAGGCCGCGCAGGTTGCGGCGCGATAATACAATTAAGCCCCTGACCAGTCGAGTCTGCGGTGTTGACCACGTGCGCCAATGGTATTTTCCGTAGATCCACTGCGATCTCAAATGCGTTGTGAGCCGTCGCTATCCGGCGACAACGCCAACTTTGGAGCAGATCCGCGAATGGCCCAACCACGAGGACGGAAACGCAGCTTCCCGCGCGAGAATTGGCCCTGCGATGGATGTTGAAGCCGGTAATTCATCCCAAGGCTGTAGTGTCGAACTGGGTAGGCAGATCGGAGCGAGTAAGTGCACACGAGTAGAGTAGACTACGGAAAGAACGCTTCGCTTCCCACGGAGAATGTTTGGGATTGAGGGGGAAAAACCTCGAAGGTGACAACCCTCTTGGTTACACAAGTAATACACAACTAACGGCCTCACTGGACAAACTACAGTTTGTATGGCGGCAGGGTGCAGAGGTGTTCAACGTCAACGGCGTTGAGCTGGCGGAGCTCGACACGCCATCTCCACACTCCCACTTCGAGAACGCCACACTCTGTCGTCCACTAGCACGCACACTAGGCTTGGCTGTCAGCTTCGCCACTTGTAATGGCGATCGGCACCGGGATCACGTTGAGCTGTTGCCGAAACTTGTTGAACAGCGTAGGACCCAAAGGCTTCGTAAAGATGTCGGCCAGCATGTCCTTCGAAGGACAGTAGCGCACCTCGAACTCGCCACGCTCGTGGTAGTCCCTGACCTTGTGATACTTGAGGTCCACGCTCTTGGTCTTGTAGTTGCCTTTGATCTCGGTCAGCACGACGACAGCAGCCTGGTTGTCTTGGTATAGGATGGTAGGCTGGTGGCGCGGGAGCTTCAACTGCTTGCACATGTTGTGCACCCACACGATCATGATGGAGCACTCGCTCGCAGCGACAAACTCCGCGCAACAGGTATCATCAGTCACAATTCGCTGTATGCGTGACTTGTACGCGAACGTGCAGCCATTCAGTTGTAGTACGTAGCCAGTGATCGAGTAGCGACCATCCATCTCATTGCCAAGGTCTGCATCTGCGTAGGCCACAAAATGCAGGTCGGGTGTCTCCACCTTCTCCCGCACTAGTCCATAGTCAGTGGTCCCTCGCAGATACCGCAGTACGCGCTTCGCCATCACGTAGTTCTCCTGCGTGTATTTGTTCAAGTACTTGCCGAGCGTACGAACCGCATTCGCAAGCTCCGGGCTAGTCCACTGCACCAAGTACTGCAAACAACCCACGATAGCACGATAAGGCACTTCAGGATCATTCACTTCTTCATTATCAGATGTTGCTGGCAACGGGAGCTTGCCCAACACTTGTGGCGGCGGCACTTGTCCATGTTGAACCTTGTCAGTATCTTCTCAATGTGTCCTCGCTGTGAGATCCACAACGCCTGCCCCGGGATGTACGTGATCTCCATGCCCAACAGGAGGTTCACGGACCCCAAGTCCTTGATCTTGAACTTCCGCTCCAACTCGCTCACGACGAGCTTGACGTTGGCGGCGGTCGCGGCGATTATGATATCGTCCACGAATACAGTGAGAAAGATCGGGCTGTCTCCCACTACACGCCAGTACACACCATTGTCCATCTTCGATCGCTTGAATCCACACGACCGCAAGTACTTATCCAGAGTGGTGTACCAAATCAGCGGCGCTTGTTTCAAACCATAAAGACTACGCAACAGTTTGCACACTCGACCTGAGCCATCGCTGAAGTACTCTGGCATCTCCATGTAAATCTCGACATCATCGCCGATCGGGCCGTTTAGAAATGCCGTCACGAAGTCGACGTGTTCACACATCAGGTCGTAGTGCAGCGCCAGTAGTAGCACCAGCTTCACAGCTTCGGAGAACACCACGGGAGCGTATGTGTCCCAGAAGTTAACCCCGAATTGTTGTTGGCAGCCCTTGATAGTTAGACGCGCACGGTGACGAATCACCTCGCCCTTGGGGTTTCTCTTCCGAACAAAGACCCACTTGCTGGTCAATATCTTCTTCCCTTTCGGACGCTCGACCAGCACCTAGGTGTGGTTGCGCATCAGATCATCAAACTCTTTCTGCAGTGCTTCGATCCATTGCTCTGCGTCTGGAGCTTGCAGCGCATCATCTACAGTAAGAGGCTCCAGCAGCTCGTGCACCGCCTGGATCACTAGACTTGCTGGGATCTCGACTTCGTAGTCTTGAAGCCGTACATTAGGTCGGCGAACCCGTGTCGAGCGTCGGAAAGATGAAGTCCGAGACGATATAGCAGGTCCTGCTCCTCTCCACCCATCGTTCTCGTCGTCTTCACGTCACTATCATCAGCTCTCAGTTCATCAAACGCTGCCATCTGATCCATCAGATCGGCTGGATCACCAAATGCAATGGTACTCTCCTCAACCTCGCCCGCTTCCGTGCGCGCAGCACCAGCAGTATCGTGTGCAATCTCTCCACCACTTTGTCCTCCCACTGAAGTCAAGGCCCCACGGTACGACAGCACAGCTGCGGTATCTGCGCGACTGCTGTTAGGCAAGTCCGCAACACCTGCACTCCTTTTCTCTCCGTGCATCACAGGATGCACAACAGGCAGGTGTACGAAAGGTACCGACATTGGCAGCACGTATCGGCCTTTGCCGTACCGATTAGACAGCAGCTTCACCACGTAGCTGTGCTCCACGGTCCAATCCTCAAAGAAGTCCACTGATCGCACCTCTTGTATGTCCCCAGTTATCATGCTTAACACTCGGTAACTCTCTGAGTGCTGGGCATAGCCGAGGAAGAGACCGGGCTTGCCAGGGTTCTCCAGTTTGTTCTTGCGCAGCACCTTCGGCGTGAACACGAACACGACACAGGCCCACGTGCGCAAATTTGATACATCTGGTCTCGAGCCGAATCGGCGGAAGAACGGCGTGTCTCCGTCGAGGGCACTGGAAGTACTGATGTTGCGTACTTCCACAACAAAGCGGAGTGCCTCACCCCACAAAGCACTAGGCATGTTAGCTGCGGACAGCAGGCATCTGACACGGCCCAACACAATTCCATTCATCTTCTCCACCAGCCCGTTTTCCTCAGGACTATACGCGTTGGTCCAGATGTACTCGATTCCATTCTTTTGAAGGAACGCCAGCATCGTTTTGTTCAGTAGCTCACGGCCTTTGTCAGACGCGAGCACTTCAATGCGATGGCCCTGGGCTACGAGCCATTCCAGATGCGAAAACACGACCTCAGTCGCTTCACGCTTCCGATGCAGTTGAAATCCCCATAAGTATCTGCTCGCCTCGTCCTGCACCAACTGAAAATGCTTGAAGCGATCATAAGTGAGAATGCCCACGTAGCACATGTCACTCATCACTTTCTGGTATGGACGCGTTGCACGCCGAGTGCCCGTGTTCTTGTAGGACATACGTGTCATCTTAGCAGCCTTACATGTCCAACACGGCACCTCCATAACGTCACGCATTTCGCCTTCCATGCCAGCTGCAACCCCATTTCGAGCCATTTCCTGCAATGTCGTACAGTTGAGGTGGGCGTAGCGGAGATGCCAACGCTCCAGAGGCGTCGCACCACGCTGTTTGGGTTGCACGCTCAGCCTTTGATCACTCGCAGGCTGTTGCACCTCACTCTGCAATGCAGTCACTGCGTACACTGCGACAGCAGTTGCCTGAAGGCGGTAGCGGCGGTTGGACTTCACCAGCAGCAACTCCACGTGCTCTCTGCGGAGCCAACACACACGCTGAGAATCCAGAAGGCTGAACTTCACGCTCCACCCGTCCGTCTCCAATTTGCCCATGCTCAACAGATTATTAGGAGCAGCAGGTGTGAGCAGCACATTCTTGAATGGCAACATCACTTCAGCATGCGGCGATTTGTTGTTCTTCACACGCAACGTAACATCGCCAACTTCCCTGTTTTCTCCTATTTCTCCATCGTATCCTTGGAATACATGGACTTCGTCAACTCGTACATTGTGCAAAGTCGCGCGCTGGTTGCACACATGTACGTCGCTAGCCGAATCCAGCACCCACTCCACTTCGGTGCCTGCTGGGGATCGACCAGTCACTGCTGCGACCACTGGTATCGCAACACCACGGACGTGACACCCCAGAGCGCTCACACCCTTACGGCCACGTTTGTTGTTGTCACTGCCACTCGGTTTGTGTCCTTGCCACCTTTTGAACTCAGAGACTTCGGGCTTAGCAGGCCCACCGTCCTTCTTCTCCGGACAGTTCGACATCAGATGACCAACCTCACCGCACAAATGACACGTGCGTGTCTCCTTGCGCGCTCCTTGCTGCTGCGCACCTTGTTTTGACTTTGGTTTGTAGCCCCCTTGCCTTTGAACTTTTTACCTTTACCTTGATTTTGCTTCGGTTTGGGCGGGTGCGAGTCTTCATGGGACTGCTTTCCACACGAGCAGATGTGTGAAGGCTTCATTTCACCCCCATTCGCCACTCGCTCATCAAGGGCGGACTCAGCCAGCAGAGCAT